CTAGTGCCAACCTGAATGGTATGAGAGTTGGGTGTGGCTCTATGGGTGACATGAAGAAGATTGTATCAGGCGGGAACGAAAGTCAATGGACAATCGTGGATCCAGATGAAGAGGATTGTAGATAACCGGATGAAATAACGATACAGTGTTTGAAACCTTATATGTTACACTTGAAACAGAAGGGAATAATTATGATAGCATGAAAAAACTGTTAATTATCGAACAATAGTTACATAAACATAAAGTGGAGTCTTATCCTAAGGCGTACACAAACACTAGACGGGAATTCTGTTAACCAACTTGTTGTTTTTCAATAACAGATGTCAATTATATTTGTATATTTTTGAGAAAAAAGAAAAGAAGGAAAATACACCACAGGAAGTCCTATGCCTACCACTTATCCTCAATAGACACCAAGCAAAACAACATTAGTTGCCAAATCCATGAGGTTAGGGGATTTTAAGACTCAACAGGGAAGGCTTCCATCTAGCACATACACAGACGGAGGCGTACACCCAGATTTCGCCTCATAGTCATCATCATCATCCGCTTATGAATAACACAGCTCTAAGTGTGTATGTGCGTGTGTTTGCTTTCATTCGCTCGTCTTCGGTTAACAAAACTGTTTGAATACGCATACAATATTTATTAATTTACTGTCTCCTAGTTTATATGCACACTCTAATTGGATACTTAAGTAACAGACAGCCTGGTGGTGATATCCTGCTGCTTTGTTTGTTTTTGAAAATACAAAAATGGAACACTGGATTTTTGTGTAAGTCAGTTAGTTGTGGAATTTAGAAACAGTCTGAATTCTATACCGATTCAGCACCAAACAGAACAACTGCTCTGATCCCTCTACTTTTCTCTTAACGCCCTCCCTCCTCTCCTTACGTACAATTATTGTCTTTCAATCCTTGGAAAAGAATAGTAGGACAGTTAGTTTATGTGATCAAGGTACCATATGAAACCTTCAGTACTGTGCATTTAAGTTGTTTAGTCGCCAAGTGACTTATTTACATATACAATTAGTAAACACCACTAGTCATAGTACTATGAAAGGAAAACAGCCTAGAGTGAGGTTCTGTCGACAGTAATGTCTAGCATGACAGTTAAACGTTAGGTAAAAGCTAGAGCTTATATATATATATATATATATTCATGACTGTCTCTTGACAGAGAATTACAAAATACTTTGCACTGAAATAAAATCTGAAGATATTGTTTAGAAGAATGGTGAAATCTCTGTGGTTAAACTAACCAGCTTAGGAAACACAACCGCGCCGAAAACGTCTATCTGAGCCACAAATCTTTCTCACTATTTCTGTCATGGTTAGATATTTAGGTGTGTTTTAATACAATCCAGTTACTTGCTGCAAAGTATTTCCTCTATATCCACCCCTTTTTAAATATAAAATGATGGTAAAGGAGCGTATTTTAGCTTTTTCGTCTGTTTGTATCGTTTTTAGAGCCAGCAAGATATCGGAGTACTCACCAGATGAGTCTTTTTGTGTACCGTGTATCGATGGTCCTCGTATCGCACAATGTCTGTGAAGAATGACGTCTAGAAGTTAATTACTTTACAGCCACACTTATTATGTGACAACTAGGGATACTATCTGGCTGTCTAAATCCTCTGTAAGTGGAGTGGGGTTCGAACTTGTGACTCAATGGTTGGAAGTCGAGTGCCTACATCAATGAACTACAACTGAATGTTGATATAAAGAGAATATAGATTTCTGATGTGTTTTTTCTCCAGTTACTGAAGTTATATGGAATAGCATGACAAGAAGTGATATATATATATATATATATATATATATATATTAAATGGGGTAAATAGTGTAAGTGTGTTGGAGTTCCGTCCCTAAATCTAGTCGCATGTATTGGTTATGCATAATGAAAACACAATTATATTTAACCTTTCACTATATATGTTAATTTATTTGACTTGTAATTTGATTGAAAAAGACAACGCCGTCATACTAAGCACATTTAGTTTGAATTAGTTGATATTATGAGATTAATATATTCACACAATCACTCTTATCATTGCTTTCACTTGTCTCATCTTCTAATCAAAAAACGTGTTTATAATATCACCTTACCATTGTGATATTATAATATTAGAATAATTTGTAATTTGCTTTTTCTCTTGACTAATCAATGATGGCCTTGTCTTTATAATCTTTTAAATAAGTATAAACTAAGATCTTCTGGAAACTGTGATAGTTAATCTGTATTATGCGTTCATAATTAAAGTTGGTATTCAACTTTTCACTTAGTTTAGATATGACTAATTTATCACGAACCTGTGAACATGTGACTCACTGCATTAAACACCCCATTTAAAATGTAGTTCATTATTAGCTTAAGTAACTTAACTTTCAACCTGTAGGTACCAAGTTCTACACCCAAACTACTACCTATTCAACCCTAGACAGCTGGGTAGCATCATCAATTTTCTCGCGATAAGAGTGAAGCACATCCTAATAGGTGAACTAATCTGTTCTGGGTGGTGGAATTCCGACTAGACTAGTTAACTGGAGGGGGAGGGTTCCTAGTAAGATTGAGGGATATGCACTTCTGAAGAGCCTAAAACTAAACCGAAGCAGCTCTTTAGTGCTGTATACTTCTCAATAGTGCTCTATCTAATGGCGTTTCGTAACCGAATTCACTTTAAAATAGCTAATATTCGGGTGTACGGAATACTTGTTGCTAGTGTAATGAGAGTGTCACTTATTTTAAGTAAGTGTTACGTATAGTTTAACTCTAAGCAGTATATAGTAAGTATACATTCGACTACGTTTTTTAAATATGTGAATTTATCCTGACTGGATTATCAGAATATACGCTAATTAGTGCAGTAATAATTGTTTGTCTATTGTGTTCTCCTTGCAATGAAGATGTAGCTCAGCCAGCTGGTCACGGGTTCGAATCCTTCTCCAGCTACTCTAGCCTGGGTTAGTGGTATCGTTGGCTCTGACCGACTAAGTGTGACTCATAGCCTAGTGTATGCAAAATATGTTCAGTGTAACTGATTTCTGGTATTTAACATCTGTGCGTCGGTGGCACAGCGGTTAAGACGCTCACCGACCATGCACATGATCCGGGGTTCGATCCCCGGCCGACGCACTCCTTTACCTCGCTGAGCCAGAAATAATGCTGGTGATGAAGGAAGGTTGGGCATGAGGCTAGCAACCCTATCCTGTAAAATAAACACTGCTACAGAAACTTCGAGCCACTAGCTTGAAGCCCTATGTTCCACTGGGGAACGTGAAGGAAAAAAAACATCTATTTGGAATGTGAATTTACCCATCATACGCAATTATTATTATTATTATTATTATTATTATTATTACCAATCAACGTAAGGTGTTGTTGAAGGTTGCACAGTACTTCGGTAAAACTGTTTGCCTAATCTCATTTTATGAGTTCAATGACTGTATTCATCTTCATTGCTTATCGTCAGCGTATCTCTCCTCTTCCCCATTTATTTCATCTTATTATGTTGGCTGGAAGTTGAATAACCAGTATCACCTTTGTGTTTGTGTGTGTGTGTGTGTATGACAGCATCATATTACTATTTTAGTTTAACAAGTTATTCGAGTTTACACTTAAAACACTGAATAATAATGATGTATGCTTTCAACTTTTTTATATCAAGCTATTTAACAAAAAACAACAACAACAACCTCATCTTGCTTCTGTTCAATTGTCATGTTCACGTCAATGGTGCGCTTTTAACGCTTCTGAATTAAACTTCAATATTATTCCAAAGCTAGTGTCTAGTAATTATTATTGCTTTTAGTGTTACAAAAAAAAGTTTTGTCTAATAAATCATTTTGCCGTGTTTTCGTGTAGTGTTCACTTTTTTGTATGTAAAAATTATTATTATTCTTTTTATTCGTGTTATTACATTATTGATGTAGTGTAATTAATAACAGTTATGCAGTATAAAGTTGGTGCATTTAGATATGAAAGTTAGTGGGGGAAAGTTGCACAAATAACAAGGTGTAAATAGAGGAGTTACTTAGCCTAGTTGAAACAAAAGCCTTCACTGTTGCATCGTTTATTATTCAGTCTATTCTTTTGCTTTCTGAGTGGGATGTTGTAGTCCTCCAGGCTTGAGCTTTGAAGTGTCAGCACGGGTGTTTCTTTTACATGGTGAGAGATCGCTGGCTTCACGCTGGGAATCGAACTGAGAGACACTTGCGTAACTAGCGAGCATTATACCGTAGGATCGTTTACATTATTTGAGGCAGCTGGTATATGTAAGACATATTGTCAAACGAATGAGGTGTTTTAACCGTTCAATGTGATGTGCAGTTTATAGCGTAAACACTGAACTGTTCGACCTTTTCCTTCTCTCTCTCTCTCCTGCAAGTTTAATTCTAATAAGGGTCAATTTTCTGACTTTTCTTATTAACCAAATTTCTACATTTTATTATAAAAAAATTCTAAATGTTTTTTAAAAATTTCACTCTCTATTTATATTAGTATGCTTCCAAGTATCACATCTTCACAATAGAAAAAAGTGGATGAGAAACAAGCAAACATGATCCTTGTTTTCTCTTATCTCTTTTGTATATTTTATCGTGTGAACTTTCCATCAGAGGGTGCTTGTGCACTTGTGCTATCTATCTCTTTCTCTCACTCCCTGTTTTCGCACTCGACCTTGAACTTATAAACCGCTTGCTGTGTGTGTGCTTCTCTTTTTTATTTTACTGTTTCGTTTATTTTTCCAGAAATTCAATAATTTATATACAAGCTATGTAAAAGCGTTTGGTGAAACGAAATATTAGCGTTACACTTTTCACTGAATACCATTACACTCTAACAGTACTTAATCATAGACACATACACCATGTATATATGTAGGTTTTTCGTTTCTCTTCTTCTCCTTCTTCTTTTACGCTTAACTTTTCGCTAGATCAGAATAATTTTTTCGTCCACTTTTTTATTTCTAATAAAAATTTTTCTATTATTCTATCCGCTAGGGTCGAGCCGCGGTTCATCTCTTACAATGGCCAGTTCAACTACTAATGACTCCTTGCCTAGTTCAAATGGCAGTCCAGCACTAGTCAGCTATCATGCCAATGCTAGACGATCAGTCCCGTCGAATCCACCGTATTCTCAGAGTTCTTTAGTCAATGAACAGTTGTTAGAGGTTAGTCAGTTTCGTTTGTTTGTTTAATCATTTATAAAGGTGTGTGTTTGCATACAGAATACCTGGAAAAATTACAGGTTAATTGCTTCTTTCTTGTTTTAAGCATTTGACTCTCAACTATTGAATGAAAGAAGTAAGTGTTACACAACAAACACTCCCATACAGTTGGCAATGAGACATACCAATTGTGTGAAGACTAGTGATAGTAACTGGCTGCTCAAACCTCAGTAGGTGGGACAAGGTTCGAACACAGGACCTGATGGTTGGAAGTCAAGTGTTTATGCCACAGCTGCACATCTATTTGATGGGTTTGAAGTTTAAAATTTATTCCAACTGTTTGGCTTTGACAGTTAATGTATGTTTCATACTGTAGGTAGAAGGAGCTTTATAAGAAAAAATGGTCTGTGAGGTTGTACACCGAAACTACAGAGCGCTATTTGTTGAGATCCTTCTTGATGACAATACAGATTCCTTTACGATTGTTTAAATGATCAAATCCACCCATCTATGTATGAATAAGGGAAACAAGGAATTTTTCTCAAGGGAGAATTACTTCCCTTTTTCGACGACTTTATTTTCAAGTTACAGAACCGTATTAAACAGACAGTTGGTGGTATATGATAAGAGTCATTAGATTGAGAAATAATACTGATTGAATGATCGTGTGTGTCTTCGGTGTATTTTTTAATACTAAAACCATCAGTTGGAAGGTCCTAGGGGCATAACCTAAAGTAGGGTGCAGTTGAAGAGACGTGAGCAATGCTTGTCATCCTCAGGATTATGAATTTTGTGTAGCTTGTTCTTCTCTGTGATATCTAAAGTCACATAACCTTCGCATACGGCATATACGTGCAATATGCCTACCGTCGAATGGATACCTACTTATCATCAAATGACATTTTCTAGTGATGATTATTAACAAGGCACATGAACAGTACAATTTTAGTGTTTGTTTTTCTGTTTACTGACTTTCGAAAATACTTTATTATCCTTTGTCTGTAGAATAAATTACACTATGCAACTCCTGTGATTCCAAACTCCTCTCAATGCTCCTCTGCCAGTCAAGTGTCTAGTCTTATAAGACAGTCTACAATGGTCAGTAATCAAGTCTGTATTAATAATCAAGCCCACTCGTCTATTGGCTATGAAGCAGCGAAAAATCTCCCCCTTGCAAATTCATCGCCACTGCCGCCTGCTCCACCTCCTCCACCACCACCACCACCATTACCGGTATTCTCAATAGCATCATCAACAATCTTAGCATCGTCATCTTATTCACCGATTGAAGTTAATCCTACGAACTCACCGTGTAAGATATTGCGCTATTTCTCGATCTTTCGTTTTCAGTCTTTTTGGTTCGACTGTGAACTTATTTTTTTTCGGTTAGAGTTCAGTATTATTATTCCTTCCTAATTTGTCTGTATGAGTATCAATGAACGCTGTTGTAGACTACTAGAGTACACTGAATCAGTCTTTTGTCTAATGCTCTTTTCGATTATTTGATTGATTTTAAGTTCCGTTACATAATCAAATCATTGAAGACCAGGGTGTACCGGACATCTGTTTCGTCGTAGTTTAGAACTCTTCAGGAGCATACACCCATGATCCCAACATGGATTGAACATAGGGTGAGTCCATTAGCCGTTGCCGCACTGGAATGGAATCAGAAGTAGTGCATGTATTCTCGCTTCTGCCAATTAGAGGTGTAAGGAGGAGTCATCAGGCTTTATCTAGGTCTACTTTCTTATTTGGAACTCATCAGCATAGTGTGTTTGAGGGGAACTTCTGCCTCATCATTTTTTTCTTCAAAGTATATCCCTTTCCACTGAAGTCGTGTAGGGACTCCTTTGGTAAGCTTTCATCCGACACAAGTCTTATCCAATAGGTTTAGTTGACATATGGCTGAGCATGTTTCTCTAAGGTTGGTTACTGTTTAAAAGGCTACTTATTCTGATGATTTCACTTCAACTTCAAGTTTAACCTCAGAAAGTAAATAGCAAAATAGAGATTCGTTTGAAATATAGTTGAGAAGTGTACCTCTCCTGTCGCCGATTAGTCAGTCATCAATTAGTTATTAGCTTTTATCAGTCAGGTTAGAGTTTAGATCAGTAGTGATGCGGCTACTAGTCAAGGTTAATTTTAACTAACAGCAATCACTAGTTGCAATTTTGATTCTCGTTAATAAATATGTCAGCTAAAATAAAAAAGCAACTATTGTATATATCAACAGTTAAATCAAATAGTTATAGACAAACTCATAGGAATGAATATTTGAAAGCCTTACAACCGATGGAAGAGGTGCAGGTATGCACGTACGATCATCATTAGTGTTTTTATTCAAAAGTGTTCAAATCTCCGTGATATTTGGTGACAAAGAACTCATTACCTCTCTGTTCGTTGACAGATCTGTTTTTGATCATAGATGTCTACGATCTCTTTCTCACGTTAGGTGGCATAATAAGGTAAGTAATGTTGACGTTAGGCGTAGAGTGTTGGGCAAAGAGGGAAAATCAATCGAAGAGGCTATAAAGTTACATAGATTGAGATGGTTAGGTCACGTGCTGCGCGTGTCTAACCATCGCCTCCCCCCTCCGACGGGCATTACTAGCTGATATAGGTGCAGGTTGGAAAAGAGTAAGTGGTGGCCAAACAAAAACATGGCATCACTCCATGAAATCCCTGACAGTTGTTAAACTGAGTCAGGTAGGGAGATGCAGACTTCCGGGTTGGGGTCCTCGGGACTCTAAGAATCAATGGCTGGAGACACTAGGTGACATGGCTCAAAATCGTTGTCAATGGCTTACGCAGATGTATTCAGTCTCTGTAATCTTTCATATTCCTTTCTACCATTACTCATTCTGTTTCACTCTTATACTTGTCAAAACTCTATTGATTCTCTTCACTCATTTTCTTGTCTACATTTGTGTGGTATTTGGAACTTGGCAACTCGAACTGCTGCACTTCAGTGCCAAGTTCTATGTTGAACACAGATAAACAGACAGACGTTGACAGATTTCAGCGTAAATTTCATTGCAAACCATATTAGTTTTATATAACTATTGGAGAGGAAGAAACATTAAGTGTACGCCTTGTCCCAGTCTTAAAATATTCAGTGGTTGATATCTATGACCATTACGCAAAGAACAGAGTTTAGCTGCTACACTGGAAGATAATGTCACAATTTCCATCGCGATTCCCCATACACTGTTATAGCAGTCTGACATCGTCAGAGAGTGTCTGCTGCACACTCACTCAACTTGGTTGACTTCACCAGTTACGATTTCCTATCAGAGGACTCACAGAAACCTTAATGAGCTGTGTATATGGATTAAAATAGAGATGCCGGTCAATCGACTGGTCAATGTCATATGAATTAATTTTGAAACATTCCACCTGAATACATCGAAACGCCTAAATTGATTGAATGAATTCAATGATGAAACTATTCAGTTAGGAAATGAATCATTTGTGTGAATAGATTTCATTTATACACATTGCGAATTCTTTGTTTCTTTTTTGTTTTTCATTATTCGTTTATTACTTTTTACTCCACCAACTTTTATGCTTTCTGCATAGTTATTTTTAAACTAATTGTGAATAGAATTGTTTCGTTGTTGGTAAATGAAATGGAATTAAATTAAAATGTTGTGTTTTTCTCTCCTCACACTTGTCTGCTTTTGGTTTTTATTTTGGCAGTACTGATCCTACAGTTACGAGTCTATGACAGTGAACGTTGGTTGATTCGTTTCTTCTAGACATCATTGTTTTGTCGTTATTTATATAACAGCCAGCCTAACTCGAATGTGTGTATGCATAGGTGTATACATAGACATACCTGTTTTAATTGTTCATCATGACACTTAACCGCTTAACGATGAATTGTTCGTTTGTTTCACTATCTAGTGTCTGGCAAAAAAGAAAAACAAAATACAGCGATGAAATAATCGAATTACTTGTTTTTTTTTTGTGGTTAATTGCTCATTAGTGACTAACTACTTCGAAATCGACTTCTTGAAGTAATGGCCGGTAGACTGCCTCAAGGTCGAATCTCAGGACAGCTAGTTACCGATCACATTGAGTAGTAGTGATAGTCTATAGCAAGTATCGAGAATTTTTGGAATTCATGGGTTATTCAAATTCTAATCTAGGGGTTAAATGAGTGGTATCCAGCTAGCCCTATTGGATGTAGGCAATTGGGTTCAATCTATGGTGCGGTTGTGGGGTTCGCACGACTGACGAGTTTCATACTGGGACGAAACAGGTGTCCAATGCTTCGTGACTTTCAACAGCTCTGTCTGTGTGTGTGTGTTGCTAATTGCTTTCAATTCTTGTGGAAATCTGCCTTGGAGCCAGCTAAATCTTCACTTAGTCGATTTCTGTTTTGATTTACCTTTTCAGTAGCATGAATTGCGAAGTAGAATGCAGGATAATGGAATTAATTGCTTATATTGTGACTAACTGATTCAAATTCAAAATAATATATTGTTTATTTTTTCTCTCACTAGAAAATTTAGACTATGCAAATCATTCCATGTCTCTTGAACAGAGAAGTAAAGTTTTAATATCAAATTTAGTTAGAGTAGTGCAAGCGATTGGTTTTAAGGTAGAGAGCTATTCAACACAGACAGACATCTACATAAAAGTGGGGTGGATTTCATATGAACATGTTATTCTACAGCTGTTCTATGTGAGTCAAATTGTTAACAATCACCAAATTACGTAAATTCTCACCTCTTTAGGCTTGTGGAAGAGCATCGCTGACAAACTGTTTGTCTGTCTGTAGCTTTCAATTACTATTCGCGGTATAACCTCCCCTGAAATTATTTACTGATATGTGTGAATAAAAAAATAAAAAGCCTATACCACAATTAAATGGTTTGTCTGTCCTATTATCACTATCACTGATAAACTCATTTCCCATTCACCAATGACCATTATTCATTTCTATTTCTTTGCTTTTTCATTTTTTCACAATTTTGTCAGGTTACAATGTTAAATCGAGTACAGCTGATTCAGTCTCTGTTGAAACAGCCAATCTCATGTCTGAATTATCCTCTCAATTAGCCCAACTTGCTGCACGTACAAATGACATCCACTATTCACCGGCAAAAACAAATCGTATTAGTACGGTGAATAATGAAAGTGATAAAGAATATGTAAGATATGATGAATTCGACTTACCGCCCCCACCGCCATCATCAATGTTCAATGATGAATTGTGTTACACTGGTCCAATAAAACAAAACTACCCTTTAAGTAATAGTCAACAGCAGCTAACCGATGTGACAGCGGCAATGACAGCAATGACACCGTCGACTACTACTACTACTGGTACTGTTACTCCTGTTGTTGCATCTGGTGCTGCGACCGGCGCCACGACAGATGATCAGGAAGAAGAGCAGTCAAGTGAAAATTTATCCCCATTTCTGTTAGCGCTTAAACAAAGTGTAAAGCAACGAGCCAATCGTTTAGCTAATCAAAACTCAATAGTTAACTGACCTAGAAAATAAAGTTTAATGCTAATCTGTTTAAATTATTGTTGATTATGTTTTTTAATACGATGAATAGGCTGATGAATGAATTTTTAGATTATATTGTTGATTATCTAGATGCGTATGTATGTGTGTGTGTGTGTGTTTATGTACGGTGCACATGAGAAACTCTATAAGATGATAGTAATCAAATAGATGTTGAATTATATACACTATTGCATTATAGACACATTTTTGTTTTCACAATGAATAAATTCTTTGATAGTGTTTTTTTTTAAATTTTCTAAAATAAAAAATTGTATTCTTTCTTTTACGTTAACTGCCCCTAGTAGTATTTATTTATGACAAATTTTGTCGACTCAATGTGACCGGCTGGACTTATCTTGAGTTAACACTTGTTGTCGTGTGACTTGTCTTCCTTCTTAGCCTTTCTTTACTCATCATCAGGATCAACGATTATTATCATTCTTTATTCACCAATTACTGTCATCATTTTTCCTATCCATGGTCATTTTTCTTCGCCTGGAGTGCAGGGGGTTTTCTGTTACGACGATGGCTTAAAATATGAATTTAGAACGCGTCTGTTGTGTGTGCTTCTTGTTGACATATATCTACTGTATTGTTGTTTGAGGTTGATTTTCTCTCTCAATTTCTCACATCTGTTCCACTATATCTTCTTCGTCTTGTAATTGATAACTCCGCCCAGTTATATTTGTAAATAAATAATGAAATAAACGAAATTATCAACTTTTCTTGGATATTTAGACTTTTGGAAGTCTTCTCTCGTCATCGTCATCCTTTTAGTCCTTGTTCCGTTACTACTACTACTACTGCTGCTGCTGCTAGTGTTATTACGTAATGTTATATGGTCTTATACTACATAACCCTTATGATATAACATTTTTCTGTTTACTATTTCACTTAAGCACTATTATTCATGTTTGTTTACATAGAAAACGGTGTTTTTTGCTAGTTGGTAGTGGTCGTACAGTCGGTGTTCTTTTCTAATTTTATTATGTATTTTATTTGTCTATCTGTTTGTTCAACTTTTGACCTGTTAAAGACAATGGATATCTCAAGGTATGTTTCAACTCAAAACATCTCTCTCACTCTCTCTTCTGTCACCTGTATGTACCTCTGTTTACATTTTTTTTTAAAAACCTAACAAATGCATATGTATGTGGGAAGTGGTCATCGAATTGTGTATTACATTAACACACATTTATGTAAATTATGTGTCATGTGATCACATACAAACACACACACACAAAACAATGGTGCTAAGTCCTCTTGGCATACTTGAATATTTTTGGTGTCATTATTTGTTTATTTATTATTCATTTTTTCTCCTGTTCTCTTCGAGCATAGTACGTTTTTATTTTCATCAAGGGGAAAGTAGGCAAGAAGAAATGTCTTTTAAGTAATATATACATGCATACATATATCCGTATTCATTCATGTATTGTTTCCGTTGCGTGTTTTTCATTTCCTCATACGGATGTTCAACCGACGCATCGACACACGTACAGACACACGAATATGCGCCTGTCTTCTCTTTGTCTGACATAAATTTCATCGTGCTTAAACTTGCATTGTATTTAACATTAGCACTAATGTTCCCCTATTATTATTATGGGATTTAAATCGTCTACAGGGATGGGGGCAGTATTATTAATGGTATGTTACTCTATATTATTATTATTATTCGTCTTTTCTTTGTCTACTTAACTCTATATTCATTGGTATGTATGTACGTGTGGCTTTCGTATTAATTCTATACTATTAAATCAAGTCTAAGAATAACAAGGATTATTAGTATTATTATTATTACTATCATTGAAACTTTATAATGTTATGCAGTGAATTGTCCGCCCGGCTCCAGATCCTTCTTCATCATCCTATATCATATATGCATCCTTTCGTATTGTGGATCTTCCTTTGGATGTGTGTTTGTGAGTGCTTGTTGAACACACGTGTATCTGAGTGGGTAGACAACAAAAGGGTACGCTATCTTACTTCACCTTTACCTTTTTACCCATTGTCGAACACTTGAGTTTTATACCTTTAACCTGGTGTTCATTTAATGTATTTTATATACATATACAAGATGTTAATACTATGATGATGTTTGACACATAAAACAAACAATAACAAAACAAATAAATTGCATTTTATTCATTATGATAAACACATAAATAAATAAAAATAAATAAACAATCTCTTGTGTAAAGTTTTTGTGTTCTATTTTCTGCCCTCAGTTTATTGTCACAATAATTCAAGTTGTGAGTGTATTATATTATGATATGTAGGCTATGGAATTCAATCACCTTCTCCTGTTCCGTATCATATTCGATAAGCTTATCTGGTATAATCTGAGGTAGCATTAAGAAAAGTAGTAGACAAAACTACTTCTGAGCAAGTTAGAGAACAATGTGCATTGACACTGAAACACCAGAAGAAAGCAAAGAACAACTTAACACAAAAAAAGCTTGAGGAATGACGGGAACACCGTAATTTTCTATAGTTTGGTTTGTAAGGGTTAGTTATGTTTTTACGAGTTGATCACGGATTGATATATATATCCCAGTGGGTGCGTACTGCCGATGATTCCCAAACTAGGATGAAACAGCAGCTTCCCAGTTCTCCCTGGTTTTCAATGGTTCTTTAACTGATATCAATCCGTGATCAACTCGTAAAAACATAACTAACCCTTACAAACCAAACTATAGAAAATTAATCTGATGCTCTCTAGTGACTTGCTACAGGATGAAGCTTCCTAGAGTTGTAGTGATAAGTCGTGACCAATGAGGTCTAACCAGATGTCTCGTGTGAGGATGGATGTCCAACCAACGACACTGGTTGGGGTCGCGCTAAATCACGAATTGGTCGAAGCTAGAATTCATGGGCTGGCCACTGAACCGGGTCCCAGTGGCTGAATGGTATACGAGCTTGCCTTGTAACCGGAAGGTCCTGGGTTCGAATCCCAGTGGGTGCGTACTACCGATGATTCCCAAACTAGGATGAAACAGCAGCTGTCCAGTACTCCCTGGTTTTCAATGGTTCTCTAACTGATATTAACTCGTAAAAACACCGTAATTATTTCAAACCGTGTAGAAATGCTCATCGGGATATTACAGGGAAAAGAACAAGAAGTTCAGCAAAGATATCTTTTCGGTGATTTCATTCTCAAAAGCTGTACAGTCGCATTTATATACATAAGTTAACATAGATGCGACTATTATTTATTTAATTCCAAATAGTAACGAAGATGATTAAAGGTCATAATAATTTTAACTTGATATTAAAGTTCAAGGGTGTGAATATTGGTTACAAGGGGCTTGGAACAAAATTATACAGGCTTAGAAAATAATTTTTTTTTCTAACTACTAAAGATGTGAATGGGGTGAGTATGGGGACAAGTTGAAAGAATAATATTTTAAAACAGGAAAATCAAGGAGATGAAAAAACGGGAACTAAGGAGACAAACCGAACTAGATCCATGTTAAATGTAGAGGTTGAACCAGTTTCTTTTGAACGCATAGCTTCGATTATTCGATGCCTATGGCGAGGGCTTCAGTAGCACAAAGAAGTCGGAAACACACACTGCCTTTGGTAGATTTTTGTTTACTTTGTAAATGACTCTGAATGATGAGTCTGTTGAGATGCTGTTACTACATGGAATTAAATAGCAGTTTTATCTATGTGAACTTATGTATATAAATGCCACTGTACAGCTTTTGAGAATGAAATCGCCGAAAAGATATCTTTGCTGAACTTCGTGTTCTTTTCTCTCTAACACCGTAATTACTAAATCACACAAGATTAATTCAGCAGAAATTATGGACAGATCAGATACTCAAGGCAGTTCATGTTCCTTTGATCTGTCATATCCACCTCACTCATCGCTAAGGTTGGAGATCAACTGTTTAGGCTCTGACTAACGCCTAAAGTGCATATGAATCAATCAGTCATTGGATTACAGCTGGTTCAGGTGTTTCATTACTACGTGCTGATCGACTTCATGATTTATCAGTTTATTTTGCTTCAGTAGGTCAACGTCTTAAGGTCATTTCATATATATATATATATATATATATATACATATATATATATGCATCGTTTAAGGTGAAACGGTATGGTGCCAAGTTACTTAATTCAAATCCCGATTGTACTAGCCAAAAATTATACCGCACATTCATATAGAAAGTTATCGGATTTAAGGTTGAATATATTGCACCTTACTGTTTATTTTCTAATTAAACTTCCTTCCTCTCGTGTAAACTCAATCCACTAGGTACTGCAATAAATTAAAGGTAGATTGTTGTGCGTCAAAGTAGTGTCAGGGTCCACCTTCATTTTCGCCGTCTTTTAAATAAAGCATCAGTGGAACGAAATTGTAAAATCGACTATTTCATCCAGTCAATTCAACTAAGTATCACTGAACGTTTCTAAATTATTATATTTGGTTTAATTTACTGTTTAAATGATTAAAGTGTACAATGAAAATGCGTCAATAATGTATGAGAAAAAAATACAAAAGTGTGCAGTTAATAAGAAAATTGTAAATTCTCTTGATTCGGTTTAAAGTGACTTCATTTTTAGTTAACCGAGTGATATATGTTAGATGGTTGAAGACAGTTGTCAGGATGACTTGGAACTAGGTATCGTGCTTATTATCGGCCATCTTCAGTAAGACGTATCTGCAAACCTGAGGGGACTTCATTCATTCCCATCAGAGATTCGAACGTGGCGTTACTCAGTGCTACAGTCATAGATGTTCGCCGATTGTGCCGCCAACCATCTAACATCAGTTCACAGTGCATCGCGATGGTGAATCGCCTAGCTTATTTATTTTTATTTTATTTTTTTATTATTTTGATTTACAGCTTGATTCCACACCGTATTTCCAGTACAAGTGTGGAATTTTCAGCATGGATATCGGTAGCCCAAATTCAGGCCGACCATAGAGATCGGGTGTGCGCCGGCAGGGGATCGAACCCCGGACCATGTGCATGGTCGGCGAGAGTCCTAACCACTGTGCCACAGACGCTTCGTGACTGCATTGCGAAAATTGATTCAGGATTCAGCCTACAGCAACGCGAAGGACTAAACGCATGACAGTGGCTACGCCTTAGTGACCAATCGATATATGCGTGTTCAACAAGGGTACTAGCGTACTGTGTATTACTTATGAATAGATGTAAGTATCACATACAGTGACTTCTTGACTGTTGGCAATCAGTAGGTGTATCTAGACGTAGGTTTTGTGCTTATTTTCACTCATCAGTAAGGCGTATTTGCAACCTCAAAGAAATGTATATCTCCTCTGAGAGTCGAAGTCGCGTCACTCACTACTGTAGTCAGTGACATTATCTCTGAGCCGTTCTTTCTTACAATGGACTTCCTACCGATTGCTTCCAACCATCTAGTAATAATTCAAAGTGTGCTGTGCTAACAAGTCACTCAGCTTGATGGCCACAACGGAAACTTGACTGACAGAATTCACTCAGCACCAAAACTAATGACTAGACACAATTGACTGGTGACTGCATCCTTAGTCTGCTAATCATTTTACGAGTAAATAATACAGAACTTTTCAACTTGTCACTTCACAATTATAATGGATTGATTCTTGAAGTTTCAGGAATAAAGACAGACATAACCTACACCACCCTTATATCGCCTAGACCAACATTTATAGATTGAATTGCTTGATATCATATTTTGGGATGATCACATCCAACATTTCTCTGATCTTGGAATACTTTTGGGAAACATTGCCTGGCTGAAGATTTTGTAGGTTGCTATGCGTAACACGTACTTCAGCTATTTCTGTTGATGGCTAATTGGCTTATGTACTTGACTTTCACGCAATGAGTCCTGGATACGAATCCCACTCCATTCGCCTTAAGCTAAAACGATGGGAGGTACATCAATCCTCCAGCAAAACGTGTAGTCTATAGCCTGGTATGTGGAAAATCTGTTTCAGGTGATTGCGTTCTAGCTGAAACGCTGTTACCTCTTCCATTGGTTTATCCTTTTTCCTTAACATTCGACGTCTAGCATCGGCATGAATTTATGTGTACGTCGGTGGCACAGCGGTTGGGACGCTCGTCAACCATGCACATGATCCGGGGTTCTATCCCCGGCCGACGCACACCTGATATCAATGGTTGGCCTGCTAAATTTGGGCTACCGATGTCATATGCTAAAAATTCCATACTTGTATCAAAATACTGTGTGCAATCAAGCTACAATAAAAAATAAATAAAAGGGATTCTAATCAGTGTGAGCGGTGAAACAAAGTCACCTATGATTAGAAATTAATGGCACTTTATATCTGTTGCTTTCAGTTACTATGTATCGCAGTTATATGTTGACAGAATTGATCAAAACAATTCATTTCGGTACTTTCTTTAATTAAATTATCTGATGGAAAAAATCCAGCGAATTTTATCAGCTTTGAATAGTTGAAAAAATAAAACAGAAAAATGTTTCTTTAAGTGAAACACACTATAGTTTTTGAGAAATACCGCTGGATTATTAATTTCCTAAATTAATTTGAATTATTAATATTGGTAAAACTTCTTAAAGACCGCGCCTTGTTAATGAAGGACATTAGGTTAGCAATTGACTCACTCTAGCCTAAATTACTGTAAACCAAAGTTGGCAGTACTGACTTTTGTTTAGGTTAGTGACCATATTGTACCTCTGTCTGAATTTCTTTGGGTTCTACTCGTGCATTAACTTGATTACAGCATGTTGCATTATCCCGATGAAGACATAGAAAATGGCCCTAACATATATATGAAGAGCATCTTTGAAATCACTACAAGACTGATAAAACCTTTTCAAATGGATGTCGCCGATAGACCTGCAAAATCACGTCAGTCTATGATATGTCAGACTAAAGACATACAAGCAAACAGAAGACAAAACCAGCATTATCTACAACTGGTTGAACTGGTATGATAACTATTCCTTCAAATCAATCCATTCAGAAAACTGTGGATACCAATTCAAATGGGAAAATGTACGAATCTTAGGTAAAAGCAACAGAAAGCACACCAGAGAATTCTTAGAAGCCTGGTGATCACGGAAATCGGTAGACAGCAGATACATCGACATGGATGAGATTTATCAAATAATAAAATAGAAGTCATATGGCGGAATTCGCTAAATCAATAACAATACAAGTGGATAAGAGGGTGAGTTAAGAACCCT